ATGTTTGCACAAGTACTCCTTTAATTGAGATATTCTGACCACATAATTTCCTATAATGACTATATCATCAAAATAAACTATCAGGTAAATATATTTCTTAAGATGGGTATTACAATAAAAAACTGAATGATATGCTTCATTGCGTTTTAGCCCAAATTTTTGAATGACTGGGCTGAATTTAACAAACCAAGCACGTGGTGATTGTTTGAGGCCATAGAGAGAGTGGCGCAACTTACAAACCTCACCAGACTCCCCCTGAGCAACAAATCCAAGAGGTTGCTCCATGTATATTTCCTCTACAAGGTCACCATGTAGAAAAACATTTTTGATATCCAATTGATGGAGTGGCCAATGACTAATTGCTGCGATGGCAAAAAAGAGGCGAATAGTAGTCATCTTGGGCACTGAAGAGAAAGTATCACTATAATTGATACCATAAATTTGAGTGTACCATTTTGCAACTAATCGTGCCTCGAGATGATTGACTTCACCATTAGAACCAACTTTAACAGTATAAACCCATCGACACCCAACTGTCTTTTTTCCAAGTATGAGGGAAACTAAGTCCAAAATATTACTATGGTCAAAAGCCTACATTTCTGCAATCATGGTTTGTCATCATCCAGGATGACCAAGTGCTTACGTCACATTTTTTGGAATGGTAATAGAAGACATTGAGGATAGAAAAGAACAATAGGAGGGCGATAATTGATGATAACTAAGAAAATTATAAGTAGGATGTGGGTTTTGAGTGGAATGAGTACCTTTTCTAAGAGAAATGGGTCAGCCTGAATCCTCTTCATCAAGAGTCGTGGTATTGGGTGACGATGGAGAAGAATTTGAAGTAAAGGATTCACCTTGTTCTTGTATAAATGGACTAGTTATTTGGGTCCCATGGATATCAATAGGAGGACTTTAACGAAGACTAGGATTAGCTGAGATACTGGAACTAGTGGACTCGACTAATGGTATAAGGAGGACCTGCTGAATGACATGCATATATTGAACGGATGAAGAAAAATAAGGAGTTTGTTCAAAGAATGTAACATTGACAGACATATAGTACTTCTTGGTTTCATAAGAGTAACATCGGTACCCCTTTTGAAGTCGAGAATAACCCAATAAGACACATTTGATCGCACGAGCAAACAACTTGTCCAACCTTGGAGACATGTCATGAACAAAACATACACAACCAAACACACAGGGAGAAATGTGAAAGAGAGGATCATTTGAAAAAAGAATGGAGAAAGGGACCTTATTATTGGGAGAGGAGGATGACATCCTGCTAATAAGAAAGCATGCAATTAGGATGACATCCCCCCAATGATGAAGAGGAATATTTGCACAAAGCAATAAGGTACGAGAAGTCTCAACTAAGTGTCTATTTTTCCTTTCTGCTATACCATTTTACTGTGGTGTGTAAGGACAAGTGGACTGATGTAAAATATCATGCAAACTCAAGGCTGCAGAAAAATTGGATGAGAAGTACTCTTTGGCATTATCACTTAAGATTTTGATTACTTGATCGAATTGGTTCTTGATTTCGTTCAAAAAGGATGTAAAAATAAACAACAATTCAATACAGTCTTTCATAAGATAAACCCAAGTACATCTTGAGTATTCATCAATGAATGTGACAAAATATTTAAAACCAAAAGAAGAGACGCGACTAGGTCCCCAAATATTAGAGTGGATAATAGAGAAACTAAAATTACACCTTGTTTCAGACCTTCCAAGAAAGGTAAATCTAACATGTTTTCCTAATTGACAGGACTCACATTCTAAGATCTGGAGACTACTAAGATCGGAGACCATTTTTTTTTAACTTTGACAAATGAAGATGACCTAACTGTTCATGTAACAATTTAGGACTTGGGGCTGCAACACAGGAAACATGTGAACTAGATCCAAAATGGTATAAACCTCAAGCTTCATATTCTTCTCCAATTTGTCTCCCCAAACCACGCTCCTGTATAATAAAAGACTTGTTATCAAAGGTTATTGAACAATTTAACGTTTTGGTTAACTGACTTAATGAAATTAAATTGAAGGGACAATTAGGGACAAAAAAGACAGATTTTAGATTTAGGGAAGAAGATAAGGAGACTTGACCGACTCCCTTTGAGGAAACTTTAGAGCTGAAATGATTTTTTTCTTAAAAAGAAAGGGATGAAAACAAAGAGTTATTACCGGAGATGTGATCAGAAGCACCTGAGTCAATTATCCATGAATTTTGACCTTCCATGGATTGGAAAATATAGGTTGCTGATGTACTTGGAGTTTCAGATGTTTGTGCCAAGTTATTAGATTTTAACCAAACATACTCTTGATATTCTTCCTCAATGAATCTAGGGCAGTTTCAGCCTTAAAGACATTGGTTGTCTTTAGTAGCAGATCTTCATAGTAATTAAGAAGGGTCATGGCCCCCCCGTGTTTTGTAACTTACTTGTATATTTATGATTTTACCCCCCCTCCCTACCAATATTAAATATATCATAAAGTAAAAAACTGAAGGAATAAATTAAATAAGAAAGATTAAAAATAATTTTATTATCTAACATTTCCATCTTCTCTCACTTTTTCATACTCTCTCATTAACGGTAATATTTTATTAGTATTTAATTGATTCTCTAATTTCTAAGGAATATATTAAATAAGGTTAAAAGTAGTTCTTCATCTTCTCTCACCTTTTTATATTCTCTCACTAACGATAATATTGATTGATTAGTATTAAATTATTTCTATAGTTTACTTTCAAATTCATTGTTTGTCTCTCTTCCTCTCTCCTTAGATTCCATCCTTGAAATTATATTGATTGACAAAAGTACTTTTTCTTCATCTTTTCACACTTGCTTATTCTATTATTGTTTGTTATTTTGATTTTTGTTGAGAAACATTTGTTGTTTGAAAAAAATATTTTTGTTTTTTATAAATTTTTATGATTCTATAATTAGAAAAATAATAGATTCATTTTTTTCTAGATATGAAGCATAAAAGCATAGATTCATTTTCTAAAAGAACGAAGAGTACAATTTTAAATAAATATCTTATTTTTTATTTTTTTATTATATAATTTATTTTATAATTGGTCCCCTAGGCTCGACTAGTCAAGATCCGCCACTGATTGTCTTAGCACGAAAACCATGCAAGGAGAAGCAGTTTTATTGGGTGTGACCCATCCTTTTACAGTATGTACACTGGGGGCCCTCGGCCACCACGTCCTCCCTTAGTGTCACATCCTCCTCTTCCTCGTGTGGCAACCATGACAGATGGTTCTACCAGTTCATGAACTTCTTTGCTTTGAGGCGTTGGGACTCGAAGGTGGTGTGTGGTCAAGCTATCCATGGAAGGGACCTCATGACTGGTAAGAAGTTGATCTTGGAGATGATCAAAGTCTAGATGTAAAGCACGGAGGATCATCACCATAAAATATTTATCAAGTTTCTTCTTGATTTCATCCAAAGATTCTACTTCCAAGAACATCTTTAGCTCTTCAACTGCAGATTGCGCTTTGGTAATGAAGGATACCATATCATAGTCAGTTTGTTTGAGAGATGCAAGTCTATTGGCAAAATCATAAAAACGTTGAATATCATTTGCATAAATGTCTTGAGCTTTCTTCCAAAAAAGGTTGCAAGTTTTAAAGGCTCTAAGGGGAATCAAAAGTCTCAGTTCCACAGTTTGCCATAGCAAGGCACACAGCTAGAAACCAACTTGCTTCCACTGATCAGCCTTTTTAGGAGGCACATGGCTTCCATCTTTCTCAAGGTGGTCATGATGACCTTGGCCAAGGAACCATATTTCGACAGATGCAGCCCACAAAAAGTAATTTTTTTCCATTTAGTTTCTCGGAAGTAATGGAAAGACTTCCAGAGAATGAAACAACAGCTCTAGTAGCCATTTTTGTTGATAGAGAGCCAGAAAACAACTAGGGCAGAGAGACCCCTAAGGTGACCTTTGCTAGGATGGCTTTTGGACTTCGCCAAAATGAAGTTTTGAGGGTCAGAACAAGAAAGGAAGGCTCCGGCGATACCCACGGAGGTGGCGCGACAACATTCAGATGGGGAGAGGGCGGTGCGTGGGTGACACATGCCTGATTGCATCCAATTTTGACTAAACACGTGACAACGTGTGGGAGGGAACTAACTTCCGATACCGATAGGGTTGACTGTTGCTCAGAGAGGCAATCCAGATCCAGTGGTTGCTGGAAGAAATTGTGACAGTGGACGGCAGTGGACAACAGTGGATGGTGGCTCCGAAGATGACTAAGACAGGCACAGCGGGATTAACTTGCTCTGATACCAACTTAACATTAAGAGACAGGAAAATATAGTTGGGAGGGCTTAATCACCCCTCTTAATCATCTTCTATTTATATTGAAAAGTTTGATACAAGAGAGCATAGAAGATCGAAAGTCGCACTAGACACCTAGGTACAAAACTATGTACAACAGTAGGACAACTGGTAGATGTTTCCAATGCATTACCCCCTACTCAGACTTAATGATTACACATAGATTTAATAATTATTCTAACAGGTGTTAACATAATGAGTTATTTAAAGTGAATATGTTTAGACTATAGCAATAAGCATAAACATGTTCTCTCAGCATACCAGAAGGGATAGCCACTCATTTCTTTACTAGATTGGGACAAAATACAAATCTATTTGATATTTCATACTATTTTACACTTATATGACATGAATGAGTCTAATCTGTTAAGCCTAGAAGGACAATAAAGAGAATTGTGATTCTGAGTACGATTATAGTCATAGGAGAGAATAACAAGATTCTAGATGTTTATTAGGATTTGTTAGTGCAGAATGGATGTAAGAACATATTCTATTAGAAGCAGGCACATGGCATGTGTTATGTAGCCTTGTAATTCCCATTTACGGTTCTGGAAGTTATAATATTGTTTCTCCTTTCTTATCATTCTTCTTGGAGGTATCTCTGACCTCACATTCAGAGAAACTATATTACATCATTGGTGCTTTCATTTCTGTACCTCCCCTACATCACTCAATCCAGGCATTCGTCTAACCAACATTACACGACACCATTCACTATTTGACTCAATTGCAATTGTCATTCATTGACCAGATATACAAGGTAGCCCTTCATGTTTGTACCTTGGAAGGTCGATCCTCTTCCACTTCCACACTTCACAAAATTCCCTAAACTCCTTATCTGTCTTTGGAAGCAAACAATATCTAGACAGGTATTTTATTCACAACCAACTTCCTAGTTCCTACCACTAGTCAATATCATAAGAAACATCTCAGTCTAGAATTAGATATTTGTCAATCCTTGCATAACAATAGAACAACAAAATAATTGAATAATAGAAGGTAGACAACTACAAAATCAAACTTGAACGATTGATTATAACATCATACATATCATTACTTTTGCATACTTGACATGCTTCAGTAAACTGTCCACTTCTGCAGAACATTAAATAGCTGATCAAATGGTCCACGCAAGATATTTTCAAAGAAAGTGTAGACGAAATTGAATTATTAAACTAAGATACAATTCTGCTAGACCTGTTACCATTAGACCCTATGAAGTTGATCATAAGTTTATCTATTATGGTATATGTATATTAGATGTTCTCCTCTTTTTCATTACATACGTTACATGAATTTAGGATTTCTTATTCATCTCCTTACACAGATATTGCCTTTGTTAGGCTGACTAACATATTCTTCCATATTAGGATTCGAAGCTAACGTCCAAAGCATTGTGCCAAAAATTAAAGAGTCGTGTTGGAATGGAAACAACAAAATTAATAATGATAGGTGTATACCTCAATTTTTTTCATCTTGGCTTCTGTTTTTGCTTTCTGATGATTTTCCCATGCTTGAATTTTCATCTCCTCACGCCTAAACCTGTGTAATTAACACCATATTTCTGTGTCAGAATTTTAGCATATACAATAAAGCAACATAAAAATAATGTTATCGTGTTTCTGAAACTGTTTAGATGCCCATAAAATATTGGTCTCATGCTCCAAAAGTCTGGTTAATCATATTTAGAAATTATATTTATCTCCTTAAGTTTAATGGGCTTGTAATGAAGAAAATTTTAATCCATTAAAATTTCGTTTTAATTCATCAATTTCAATTAAGCATTTCATGTTTGGAAGTCTCACTGCTTTAATCTATTAAAACGACTTTTTAATGGATTATTAAAAACATGTCTTAATGGATTAAAACATTTTTTAATCTATTAAAACTAACATCTATATAAGTGAGCTATCTGAAGTTATATTTGAGCAATCATTCTGGAAAAAGTTGTAAAACATTTTAAACACTTGAAAGAAGTTATAAACTTAGGAAAAACACTTCATTACGTGTGGTACAAAATCATTGGCATCAAGATCATAGATTGATATAATCACATTGTGGATCATCTTTGTGGTGGTAAGGTTCCACAAGTAGTGGTAGGAATTCTTCTAGGATTCAAGATATTAGTGTGTTTGTGTATATTTTCATGTTTTCTTGAAGGGTTATAGCAAAAGGTTGAAAATATAGTAGATTGACTTAATCAAGATGATTAGGCTACTAGGTGTAGCTCTCTTGAGAAAATGAACAAGAATAAATTCTTGTGTTTTTCTTTTTCCTTTATGTTCTACACATTAGATCTGAATTGGAACTTGTTTTTTATCAATATGCTCATGGAAGGTTAAAGGACATTATATTGGTATTTCTTGAAGCTTAAATCAGTTTTTCTACAAGTGTTATCATGATTCAAAGAAAATAATTCATCCATTTGAACCCTCCTGTTCAACTCAGTCTTTAAAACTAACATAAACTCCACACATCGTCAAAGAATTCAGATACTTTGGCCTTAAATCCTTCCTTGGTATCTAATTTTTTCTGTTGCCTTTCATCATTGTCTCCTTGATTTCATTTCATGAGGGATAGATATATAATTGCAGTCACTTTCAAACAAATGTTAGGAAAATGAATTAATGGAAACAAAGTCAAAATGAGAAGGCAACAAGGACTATCTTCTAGAGGTGTGCATGTCACTATCAAGAATGATAATCCTTTTTATCTAGGATCAGCATGCATGTGACATGATTGGAATCTACAAATCAAAAAATTAGTGCCCTGTAGGTCTGCACTGCAATTTATAGTGTTCAAGTCAAATTTGTAACTATATTTCTTTCGTCTGCTATATCTCCTCCTTTCTTTTCACATTTCATGCCTAGATTTGTCATCACTAAGTCATTTTTTATTATGATTTGTTCAAACACATCATAGGAATCCAGGTACTTCATTATCAAGAAACCAGGGGAAACCACAACATGAAAACGTTTTGCAAAAGGTTACCTATGTAGTAGACATATTACTTTCTATAGGAATAAATACCACAAGACAGTGGTCGATCCAGATTCTATGACAAATAGTCATGAATATATTTGTAGCCAAAATTAAATAGACAATTGACAAAGAACAATACACTAGAAAGCTTAAGCTATTAAATGAAGCACTTCAATTGTTTACAGAGGCTCTTGCAAGAGTTTTTGGGCAGCACCTTTACTTTATGATATTTACTTTAAAAACGAACACTTGGGTATGTTAATGGATTTACATCTCTAAAGTAAAATAAGTTACATGAAAGAGATCAAATTTAAACAGATAATGTTAACAATATGAATTAGCATAAACTGACCTGGCCATATACTTGGCCTTCTCAGCTTCCTCCCATGCTGCTGCACGTGCTTCAACAACACTCTTAGGTGGTTCTGCTTTTGTTTTCAGGGAAGTGGATGCATCCTTATCTTCCTCTTCTTTGCTAGCCCAGGCAGCAATATTCATTTTACCTAGTTGTGTCCCAAGGACCATTATTTCTCGCCTGGTTTTCATTTGTAGCTCCTTTTCCGACAATTCATTCTTGTTGAGATTCATATTGTCACTATGTAGATCAGTTAAAGTAGATGCAGGGGAGGATCTGGGGGGAGTGGAAGGCCGGGAAGAATTAGGGCTGCGCATTGGTGTTGTTGCCCTCACAGGGGTACCTGTTCTTGAAGGCTCCTGGCTAGCAATAGGGGTCATTTCGGTTCCCATATCTCTCATTGATACAGACCGAGCTGTTGAAGGGGGAGGAACAAATGTTGTTGCATTCTGGACAGCAAGAGATGAATTGTGCTGGCTAAGACTAACTGTTAACATAAAATAGCAGAAAGTGAAGGACAGAACAAAGAATTAATAGTCCCCTAAACGATCTATAATTATTTAACTCCTTCAAATGAAATTATGTCCATGGTATTATCAACTTCTAGACATAAGACATCATTTTAAGATAGAAAGGCTGCTCAAGCATTTGGGAGTCAGAGAATGTGTTCATGCCCATTTCTACTCAAGTTATGCTTGAAACTTTTGAATTCTCATCATTAGCAAAATAATAACTGTCAATAAATTTAAGGAGTCCACTTGCATGAATTTGCCTTATAATGGAAGTATTTTGAGGTGAGCTATCTTGTGTTTTCCTACAAAGTTTGATCCTACAAGTTTGACTGGATCACAGTATCAGCAATCATTGGCTTGCATATACGTTTTACATTTTTGTCCAGTTGACATTATTCTGGGGAAGAGGATTAATTTGCAATATCTCCCCAACGGATCTGCATCTTTTATCAGAAAATCTTGTAGCAAGACCATATGAAAAGTATATTTCAATTTTGCATCCATATTGATGACAAGTGATTATCTTGTGCCACTGCAGAACATCAAGGGAATAATGGCCAAAGTTAAGCACTTTCCTGATGATGTGAGGCAGTTGAGGGTAGAGGGCATAAGATTCAATTATCAAAACAGAATTTTTCAAGGGAATATTAGGGTATTGTAGTCTAAAGAAGGATTTGCAGGCACCAGAAAGTGTTGTAGTGCTAGATTGGTGGCTTGTAAAAGGCTACTAACAGAAACTGAAAGATTGTGTTTGGGATTTATGGGATTTAGGGTAAATTCAAGCAATAATAACAAAGGATTTGATAGCTTGAAGGTCTAATTCTCCCTACCAAAAAATATTATCCAAGTTGTTGTTAAATAGAACTGTAAGACTACAAATTTTCCCAAGAGAAAGAGATGCATCCCACACCTAGAAGTTGGGGTTTCCCAGAATATATCGACTTCCATTTTCCATTTTTGATAGCTAAGTACATCATTCATACTAAACTCAAGGCTTCAAGTTAAGAAAAAAGCCCCAATGGAACATAAAGACCATCAAACTACTAATAATTTAAGAACACCACATACAAATACCTCTAGGCCTGAAAATATTATTAACTGAAGCAACACTAATGAACAAGAATTATAATAATGATCTGAATAAACACTATAAGCTTGTGTCATCTGGATTGCATAGCCAACATATACTCGACACACAGAACTGAGTAAAAAACCATATATAATCTTTGACAAAAATAGCAGAAAAATAGAATGTATATATTTTGAATAAAATAAAAATATGTTTATGAGATAACTCCAGTAAAGAATTGGAAAAAAAAAAAACACAATCAAACATTTACCACAAGAACTTGCAATTGCATATGGATCAGCCTCCCAACTCACAAATTTCTGTCCTCCACTTTCCATCTTAGTTTGATTTGTATCAATTTGCTTAGTATCTGGTTCATCTAAAGCAATTTCTCTTTGATCTGGAACTTCAACAACAACCTTCATTGAAGATTGCCGGCTTCCATAACCAAGACTACCAGCCTTACGCAGTCCTACATGCCCACCTTGCCCCTGGGTCTGTGCAGTCTTTGGCCTGTTTGATGTTGGACTTGCTATCCACTTCTGGGCATCATCCCATTTAGATGGTGCTGGTTTTGAGAATGGCCCCACTGGAACTCTCTGTGGAGCCCGCTCGGCCTTTTGAAATTCAAACACTGATGAGGACATGCTCATATTATCATTCCCACTATCATAATCTAAAGAAGGATCTTCTAAGATTTTATTCCTTGAAGTCACTGCTGTATTAGCCTTCACAAAACGATCACCAACAACTGCCTCAATGCTACTGGTGCGAACTATAGCAGAAGTTGAATATTCAGGAAGAACACTCACAACATCTACATCTTTACAATGATCAGAACCGCTTCCACCTGTAACAGATATGTCAAATAGAAGTAACCTTACGACTGTGACCAGAATAGGAAACACCATCCATTTTATAATAATAATAATAATGAACACTGACATATTTGACACTGCTTACGAACATCATTGTATCAACTAATCAAATACATCTGAATTTGAAACAAAAGATGGACAGGCACAAGCTTGAACCTGTAGGGTACCATGTTTGAGATACCAAGTAGGCAAGTACATTATATAAGTAAGAGTGTCTCGTCCCTTTTCTTCATTTTATTCTCCCTTTTTTGTATATAATTTAAATCATAGTATGCTTCTAACTTCTCTCACAAAACTATGGGGAGTGAAATGAAAACATCAAGGCAACAATATGACGGAGAAATAACCATACTCAGTGAAAATCTTACATTATCATGAGAAAGTAAATCTCTTTTAGATTTACAATATCACAACCTTGAGGGAAGCATTACATTGATCAAGACATACGTACCAGTTTCATCCATGTCTGAATTTTGAGATCTCGTGGTGAAAGTAGAATCAAGCTCTTCCTCTTCTTTCCTCTTCTTCTCCACACCCAGTAGCATGCTCCTCAATTTTCCCGGTGAAAATCCCCCACCACCCTGCAAACCCAAGTTCCCATAAGGCCAAAGGCAAATCATAGAACCCCCAAAATGAACAGATCAAAACAAGAGTTTCCACTTTGCAGAACACTAAAAAACTTTTAACAATGATACTCACTTTCCAAATACAAGACAACACAGGTAAGAGATAAATAGTGACAAATACAAATTAAGCAAAGATAAAAAAGGTGAATGGGATGAAAGAGGTAGAAGAGAGACCTGAGGCTTTTGGATCCTTTCGTAATCCATAGTGGATAAATGGGGTGTCCTTGTGGGAGCAAAAATGCAATCTTTACACAATGTAGTGTAAGTTCATCTCTGCCGTTAGCTAGGCAAGTACTTGTTTGGGTTTGAAGCTTTTGAGTTGCAAAAGTGAAAGTGTCGTCTAATATTTTCAACTTTCAATGAGCCGAGAAAGAGAGAGAAAGGGAGAGTTGGAAGACAAGAAGATGCAGTAATAGCCGGACCTGTCTCTGACCTGTTGTTGTACTACATTGGCTTTTGTGGCCCACTTTCCCACCCCATACATAATGTAATCCCTTATGTTACTTCTTTCTAAGTTCCATCCGCTATGTGCAATTATTATCTTAAGTTCCATCTTGTAATGCAAAATCTATCAAGTTTAACAAGTTTATTAACAGGCAAATCATCACAAAGAGAGGAATTTAACTTCCAAAACCCCAATCATGGTGCCTATTGATTATATCACATAGCAATACTTCATCAAATTTAAATGTAAGAAACATTAATCATTTGTTTGAACGGGATTGGATTTGAGAAGAAAGTGGACAATTGAATTATTTGAAGGAAGAGGGAGAGGGTAAAATAAAGAGAGATGAGTTGAAGTTTTATAATTTATTATGAAACAAAAAAAATTAACTGGATAATATAATAAATTATAAAATACTCGTAATTATAAATTTAATAAAAATAATATGAAATAAAAATTAAAATAATTAAATGTGAAAAAATTGAAATAATAGTAAAAAAATATTTAAAAATAAATTTTAAATTATTTAAATAACATTAATTACATTTTTATTTCATATACCAATTTAAAAAAATATAATAAAAAAATTAAATAAAAATAGAAACTACACGTTAAAATTATGCATATAAAAAATAAATGAATTTTTTTAATAATTTACACTACAGTATTAATATATTTAAGTCGATTAAAAATAATATGTTAAAATAAATTTAATTTCACTGTAAACAATGTATAAAATATAAAAACTATAAATCTTATTTTACTATAAAATTAAACACAAATGTATCCATCACATTACAGTAAACGTATTATACAAATTTAAACACAAATAATCCAATTTATCTTGTTTTCCTCCTTCCTAGTTTTTTTTTTTAATTTAAATCACATCTTATTATTGATTTCATTTAGTAAATAGACTATAGTCAAACACCTAAATTCAAATTGATTATAGGTTTAAAAAATATATGTTAACCAATGGTAATAGATTATGTATTTAAACAGAGTCAGTTAAATATTTAAATATAAGAAAATATTTTTTATTTAATTTGTTTAATAATTTTTATATTTATAAAAATGTTAAATAAAAGATAAAATTGTAAATAACGATATATTTAATTATTAAATATTAGGATTAAAATTGTAAATATAGTGGAAAAATTTATAGGGACGAAAACCTCCACACTTATTGATTATGTGTTTAAAATAATTTATTAACATAATCTATGGTAAAAAAGGGTAAGTAAAAATGAAGGGACGTGGTGGTTTAGATACATACAACAGTAGAAGTGCATATATATACTTTCTTTACCTGCCACAATTTTTTATATTAAACAAAATCCACAATATAAAAGTTATCTAAATCTAAATTCAGTAAACCAAAATTGTTTCTAAAAAAAATCATATTAATATTTCTAATAAAGAACTCAACTTTTTTAATCATAGTCATACAAGTAATCCAATGATTTCTCAAAGGTAAAGAAACAATATCAAATTTCTTGATAGCGTTTAATTAAGTATGAAGTACACTAATACCTAGTATATTTATTTACTTTACATCTTAAATTTGAAATTTCAAAATTTCAATGAAATAGTTTGTTGATAAATAATTTCATGTTAATTAATTTAAATGATTTTGATATGTTAATCTAAAGTTCAGAATTTTTTTTATATGATATCTATAAAAAAGCATAATAATACTCCGTGTATTAAAATATCAAAATTTTATATAAAGCGAATAAGATATATTAACTTAAAATACAATGATTAATATTTTCTTAAGAAAAACAAAGGTTGTAAAATAAAAAAAATACTATATTCTCTTAAGAAAACATTGCTGGATGTTTTCATTATTGAAATTTTTTTAATAAAAACAACTTAAAAATATTAATGACTATTTTAATGGAATTATTACAACTAATACTAATAGTAATAGAAATTAACAAATAAAGTGCACACTGAATTATATCTAATAAGTACTTGTCATGCATGCAAGACATGTCATCTTGCCAAAATTTTAAATTCTAACTAATCATGTGGCGTGAACATTAACGGACGTTACCAAGAAAAAAAAATAGTGAGGATAAAGTAGTAGGATTAAAAGAAAGAATTAAAATAATTTTAGAGAACAATGTTAACAAAGAAAAAATACTTTGAAATAAGTTGAAAACAAAAACTTACTTAATAACTTTGATCCAGAAATGAGTTTAGACCAAAATGGATGAAATTAAAAATAATAAAAAGTCGAAATAAAATTGAAAATGATTTAACGATGATGAAAATAGATAATTTAACACATTTATTGGTGAATAATGCGTAAATATTATTAATGAAAATAGAAAATATCTTTCATTAATTTTGCAAAAAATTATTTTTGAAAATTGTTTTAACATTACAAGATTTTAGTTTTTAAAACCTAAAAAACTGAAATCTATTTTTAAAAAAATAAACAATCAATATTATTTCAAGGAAGTGAAATGGAAAGTAAGGAAAAAAAATTGTTAAGGCATATGAGTTTGGTTTAAAAAGAAAAAAAAACATATATATATTTTTTCAATTATGTGCTTCTTTGTTTTTTATATTTTTGAATTAAATTAATAAAAGTTTTATAAACTTCTTACGTATATCTAATTAATTTTTTTATATATGATTTGTGAGTTTCCTTAAGCGGTAATTATATTTTATTTTTTAATATTGTTATTTATTGTATTTTTGTGAAGTTTATATATAAAGGAGCTGGCTTACCTTCTGTAATAATAACAATGTAATAATAACAATGATGTATTATTGAATGAAATTTTAAGAAATTATCTTCTTTGTTCTATGTTTTCATGAGCATAAATATCAAAGTTGGTTAGATCCACAAGAGTGACATATTACAACCAATTATAATATTATATGGTCAGGTTGCATAAAAAACTTTATTATAATTATTCACAAGGAAAAATATTTTCAAAGATCGCTTTAGTAATCGAATTACATAGGTCACAATTTAACAATTGATTTAGAGATCGATTTAATTCGGTCGTAATTAGCGATCAATTCTGTCATCGAAACATGATTTGGTTTCACTTTTTTATTTAATGACCAATAATTTGCGTTGCAAAATTTCGGTCGCTAAATTAGTAGCGATTCCATACTAAAATAAAGAAAATTATTTAGCGATCGATTTAATGACTGAATTACAAATTAAAATAGTGACCGACTTGAAATCGGTCAGCTAATGAAAAAATAGCGATCGAATTAAAATCGGTCGCTAATGAACATTATTTTGTTATTATATTTAAATTTATTTTTTTTATAAATATACTTTAATTGTTTTAATATATTTTTTACAATTTATTTTTTAAAAATAATTTAATTTTGAAAAGTAATTTATTTTTTAAAATATATTTTAAAAATAAACTTTAGTCTTAATGTTAACAAAACGAAAATTAACTTTAATTTTAAATTACTAAAATAAAAATATTATTAAAAATAAATCAAATTTATTAAAAAATTAAATTAAAATAAATTAAAATTGGAGTGATATTAACTATTCAATACAATGTTTAAGAAAAGTTTAATAACAAATATCTTTTAATATATTTTTCAATTGAAAATTTCAATTGAAACTAAATTATATTTTAAAAATTTATATTAAAAAAATTGACCACTTCACATTATCATATTTTAATTTCTCATGAACTTAATTAATTAAAAAAATTACAATTTCAACCAAAATTATTACAATTTTATTTTATAATATTTTATTTTTAATCTAGTTTTTAAATTTATTGCTTTAATATTATTAATTGATTAACCATTATTGTTTTCATATAATTGATATGTCAAAAAATTTATATCAAAATATAATTGATATACATTAGATAATAAGTATATTATATAATTAAATTATTTATAAAAATATAATTATCTTTAGTTGAAATATTTTTTACTTTAAATATACTGAAATTTTTTCTGCAGTGACACATATTCATTTTTTAATTACTCAAATAACATAATGTAGGTTTTATTTACCTACCTAGCACAATTTTTATTAAGTTGCGAATTTGATTTCCTGATACACCAAACCTGAACGTGCTTACATATATTTTTTTTAAATCATTTAGAATTCGGTTTTCCGTAATCCAATTCTGATTTTTTTATTTTGTTAAGAATGAAAAGCTAACTAATATATATATATATATATATATATATATATATATATATATATATATATATATATATATAATATTTTATTTAAAATTTATAGTTTTAAATTATAATTTTAAAAAGATTTATATATTTCTTAAGTTAATAATATATTTAGATTTATTGTTAAAATTAGTACAATAATACTTTTAAAATATATTATTAAATATTATATTTATATATTATTTGTATGGTTAATTTTTTTAATTTTTTAATTTATTTGATATTGTAATATTTTTTTAGAAATTAATAATAAATTGGAAGGATAATAAAAGTCTTAAAAATTATATGTATATAAGATGAAAAAATATGAAAAAATATTTTTATGTAAAATTCTGTTTTTTAAATGTATTTTTTTTATTATGTAATATTTTGGAATATATATATATATATATATATATATATTATAATTCTAACTATAATTTATTTTTAAGTTGAAAATTATTATTTTCATTTATAATATATATATATATATAATTAATTTAAAGTTTATATATGTAATTTTAATTTATGTAATATATATATATATAATTATAATTATAATTTATATAATATATATCATTTATTCAACATAAAAATATTTATATTTTTATTAATTTTATAATTATAATTTTTTTAACTTTATAATTATAATTTATATAATATAATTTATAAATAATTATATATATAATTAATTTAAAGTTTATACATGTAATTTTAATTTATGTAATATATATATATATATATAATTTATATAATATATATCATTTATTTAACATAGTTATATTTTTATTAATTTTATAATTATAATTTTTTTAAGGTTATAATTCTAAATATAATTTTTTTAACTTTATAATTATAATTTATATAATATATATAATTTATAAATAATTATATTTTTAAAATTTAATTTGATATATATTTTTATTTATAATTATTTAATGTATATTTGAAAAACTAATCTATTATAATTGATTATTTATTAATCAATTATTTGAAAATCGAGTAATTAAAAAACTAATCTATTAGTTTTTCAAATATATATTAAATAAAACAATATATATATATAACATTATAATTTTTATTTAAAATTTATAATTTTAAATTATAATTTTAAAAAGATTTATATATTTATTAGATTAATAATATATATAAATTTATTGTTGAAAGTAGGAAAATAATATTTTTAAAATATCTTATTAAATATTATATTTATGTTTTATTTGTATGATTAATTTTTGTTAATTCTTTGTTGTAATATTATTTTTAGATATAACATAATAAATTAGAAGGATAATAAAAATTTTAAAAATTATATGTATATAAGATAAAATAATATTTTGATATAAAATTATATTTTTAAAATGTATTTTTTTGTTTTTTCTAAGGAATATATATATATATATATATATATATATAATTAATTTAAAATTCATATGTAATTTTAGTTTATGTAAAATATATATATATATATAATTATAATGTATATAATATATATAATTTACTTAACATTAAAAATAGTTATATTTTTATTAATTTTATAATTATAATTCTAAATATAATTGTTTTTAACTTTATAATTATAATTTATATAATATATATAATTTATAAATAATTATTTTTTTAATTTTAATTTGATATATATTTTTATTTGTAATTATTTAACGTATATTTAAAAAATTAATCGATTCTAATTTATAATTTAAAAAAATATTAAAAACGAATAAATCATAATTGAGTAATTGAAAATATACATTAAATAAAATAATATATATATATATATATATAATATTATAATATTTTATTTAAAATTTATAGTTTTAAATTATATTTTTAAAAATATTTATATATTTATTAGATTAATAATATATTTAGATTTATTGTTGAAAATAGTATAATAATTTTTTTAAAATATATTATTAAATCGATGATTACATGTAGTAAATTTATAAGTTTGATTGTTTATGAGAGATCAATTATAATTTATATATATTTTAAAAAAATAAGATGAATTGAAGATAATTAATCTAATCATCTTATTTTATCACGAGATTAAAATACTCCATAGACAATATTATTGTTAATTATATATTAGAATAAATTTATATAAAAATAATATTTATCTTTAAAATTCACTTCTTCAAATTCTATCTTTATATTTTTCTACTGTTTTTTATAATTAAGAATGTCAATATTTATGCACACACTTAAATATAATATAATATAAAGTAAAGTAAAGATTATTTATTTATTTTATTTTCTTTCCAATCTATAATTTTAGTATTTTTATTTTAAAATATATTTTATATTTTTAAAATTAATAATTTTAATGTGGAATTCTTTCAAAATCTAGAATTCTTTTACAACGAGAAATTACAGAATATAATAAAAGTTGTAGACAATTTGGGAAATTTGGAAAAAAATCATTCTTGGGAAATATTGTATTCTATGATTGTTATTTTTTAAAAGGTAAACAAAACATGGGTGTTTCTCAAATTTAGATTCCCGGCAAACTAAAAATTTCACTAAACTTAGGATATGATGTTGAGATGAAGTATAAAACTGGGAGTGAGAACATGCCAGTATATATGGGTTATAAACTTTAAAAGGGTAGGCTGTATTATAAGGAGAGACTGGTGATTCTGAGGAACTTATCCAAAATTTTCTTAATTTTTGTCAGCATTCAATTTCATCTAGGTAGATATAAAATAATAAATAAATAATAATTTATTTGAAAAAAAAAAGAAAAAATATTAAAATATGAAAAAAGAGAAAAAAGAGAAAAAATGTTTTGTTTTAAACATTTTAAAATAAAAATAAAAATAAAAAACGAAAAGAAAATAATAATAATAATACAATAATAACTCTTATAGTAACATTCTACAATTTAAAAAAAAATGAAGAAAATAATTTCTTAAAGAAAAAAAGAAAAAAAAATTATCTAACATTTTTACATTTATATAAAAAAAGGAAAAGAAAATTAATATAAATATTTAACTTGCATTTTTATTTTTTTATCCAATTCACCGTAGTGTTTCAATACCCTAGCTTTTAACCTAAAAATATTTAGAGGATTTAGGTTTGCATAGAGGAGATATTTACTCTCGTGTCTCACCTCAACACCAACGTGTCCATATCTCTGCGCCCCACTCTCCACTCTGCACACGGATCTCACAGCCACCATTAGCCTGAGATACATCGCTAACCTCCACTACAACCTACGACCCGTCCACTCACCACGGCCACCACAGAGCACCAGCCTTAAGCCCGTGCGACCAACACCACTCTGATTCCCTTTTCCATCCCATTTACCTCTCCTCTGCCATTCATCCTCAGCTCTAAATCTACGCACTACAGTCACCTCCAGCCTTCATTGTCGGCTAGTGCATCCCCACTAGTGGCTACCGCAAACCCCACCGTGAAACCATCGTGCCTTCTTCACGCTCAGCCCACGTCCCTCACCACGACCACCACGGGTCTCGGTCGCGCTAATGTTTTGAATGTTTTGATGACATTGTGGTGGCAAGCAATAAGAGTAGTGCCAGTAACGTAAACACCCATCTAATCTTTACTTTCGACCAACCCAACAAATCACAACCCTAACCAGGTAAAAATCCCCACCTAGTGCCGCACGATTTCCCTTTGCTCTTCTCTTTCTCGCGAAGGTTAGGGTTTCTTTCCACCTTCAATTTCTCGCTTTGTTTTGTCTTTGACTTGCTATTTCTCCCCTTCGAGTGTCCAAATTTTGTGTATCCTCTTATTTCAGTTATTCTCTGAAGTAATTGCTCAAGTTCGCTGCAATTCCTCACTTTGCGGCGAGGGTCGAAGACACGCTTTCGGAGTGGGAAAGAGTGTACCTCCCTATCGACCCCGATGTCATGCTTCTTGACATCGCTTTTGTCCCCGACGACCCCAACCTCGGTACTGTAAATTCGTAATCTCCTCTCATGTTTGGGAGGGGATCAACTAGTTTGTTTCTATTGGCTATGGTTGGTTTATTCATTTGATGCAGGACTCGGTCATCTTAGATCTTTGATTGTTGGGTTTGCTTAGGACTATTTTGATTTGAGTTGGATCTTGGTTTGCGGTGTTGAAATTTGTTGAATATAGAAGAAATAGAGTTTGGGATTAATCTCCCTTGTGTATAAATCACACATAGGGTAGTCTATTTATAGTAGAGAGATACAACTAAAAGAGTAACTGAAAGTAACAGAATAAACAGAAGATATTGTTTGATATTATGGTTAATATCTAACAATATCTTAACAATATTAAATAATATCTAACACTACCCCTCAAGCTGGAGCATACAAATCGTATGTGCCAAGCTTGTTACAAATATAATCAATTCTAGGACCCCTAAAGATTTAGTAAAAATATCTGCTAACTGATCACTTGAGTTAACAAACTCAGTCTTGATGTCTCCAGACATAATCTTTTCTCGAATGAAATGACAGTCAATCTCAATGTGTTTGGTCCTCTCATGAAAGACAGGATTAGAACTAATATGAAGAAGCGACTGATTGTCACACACAAGTGACATTTGAGTGACATATCTAAATTGTAACTCTCTAAGCAATTGCTTAAGCCAAACAAGTTCACAAGCAGCTGAGGCCATAACTCTATATTCCGCTTCGCACTAGATCTTGCCACAACACTTTATTTCTTACTTTTCCATGAGACCAAGTTACCACCAATGGAGACACAATATCCGGATGTAGATCTTCTATCCGAAGGAGATCCCGCCCAATCGACATCTCGAGTAGCAAACAACTCGGTATGGTTATTATAATCATATAACAATCCTTTTCCAGGAGATCCTTTAATATACTTTAAGATACGAATGACTCGCATTCCAATGATCTTCACATGGGGAATTAAGAAATTGGCTTACCACACTGACTGCAAAGGAAATGTCGGGACGAGTAACCGTAAGATAATTCGGCTTTACAACCAATCTTCTATACTTGCTCAGGATCGGGTATAAGCTCCCCCGATTTGGTAAAAGTTTAGTATTGGGATCCATGGGCGTATCAACGAGACTTTGAATTCATCAACCTAGTTTCCTCTAAAATATCCATGGCATACTTCCTCCGAGATATAACAATACCATCATTGGATCGTGCCACCTCAATACCCAAGAAATATCTAAGTTTGCCAAGATCTTTGGTCTGAAAATGGTGACAGAGATGTTGTTTCAACTGAGAGATGTCATGGTTGTCACTACCTATAAGAACGATGTCATCAACATATACTATCAAGTAAACACATCCAACACTTGAGTGTCGATAAAAGACAGAGTGATCTGCTTCACACCGAGTCATACCAAATTGTTGAACAACCTTGCTAAACTTTCCAAACCAGGCCCTAGGAGACTGTTTTAGGCCATATAGGGATTTGCGAAGACGACATACCATCCCATAAGACTCCCCCTGAGCAACAAACCCAGGAGGTTGCTCCATATAGATTTCTTCTTGCAAATCACCATTGAGGAAAGCATTTTTAACATCTAGTTGATAAAGAGGCCATTGTTGAAGAGCGCCCATGGCGATAAATAAACGAACAGAAGTCATCTTTGCCACAGGGGAAAAGATATCTCCATAATCCAACCCAAAAATTTGAGTATAACCTTTGGCCACAAGACGAGCTTTGAGGCGATCAATAGTACCATCAGGTCCAACTTTGATAGCAAACACCCACCTGCAACCAACAACAGATTTCCCAGACGGTAACGAGACCAATTCCCAAGTTCCACTATTATGAAGAGCACTTAGTTCATCTAACATGGCCTGACGCCAACCAGGATGGGCTAAAGCTTCACAGACAGTTTTTGGAATGGTCACAGAAGAAAGAGAGGAAAGACATGTATAAAAAGGTAATGACAGTCGATGATAACTCAAACCAATATAATGAGGAGAGGGATTACGTGTAGAACGAATACCTTTTCGGAGGGCAATGGGAAGGTCAGACTCAGGTGTCACATCCGGAGGAGACACAGTAGTTGGCACTTGAGTAGAGTCACATGGTGGTGGTTGTGATTGGTTTCGGCAACTATAAACTTGAAGAGGCAGTGAAGAAGAAGCTGACTGCGGAGTAGAATCTAATGGTGAAGAATACACAGTTAGAGGGTCACAAACAACAGGAACATTAAATGTACTAGGAGTGTTGACAAGATTGGATGGAGATAGAGGTGAAGATTGACTTTTAAAATAAAAGAGAACTCATCAAAGGTGACATCTGCAGACACAAAATAACGGTTAAGAGAAGGAGAAAAACATTTGTATCCTTTTTGTGATCTTGTAAATCCTAAGAAAACACATTTATGTGATCTAGGAGAAAGCTTGTCAAGACTAGAACTAAAATTATGAACAAAACATGTAGACCCGAAAACTTTTAGAGGTAAGGGATGAAGTGGTTCATGAGGGAATAAAATGGAATGAGGTATTTTATTATCTAGAACCGAAGATGGCATGCGATTAACAAGATAACATGCAGTAAGAAGAGCATCACCCCAAAAATGCTGAGGAACCTCTTCATGAATTAAAAGAGTGCGAGTTGTTTCAATAAGATGTCTATTTTTACGTTCAGCTACACCATTTTGTTGAGGTGTATAAGCACAAGAAGTTTGATGCAAAATACCATGAGAAGCCATGAATTGTTTAAAATAATGAGAAAGATATTCACGACCATTATCACTGCGCAAAACTCTAATAGAAACACCGAACTGAGTTTGAATTTCATTGAAAAAAGTTTGAAAGATATGAAATAATTCAGAACGATTTTTCATCAAAAATAACCAAGTGCATCTGGAATAATCATCAATGAAAGTAACAAAGTATTGAAAACCTAAAGTAGACTTAACGCGGTTAGGTCCCCAAATGTCAGAGTGAACCACGGCAAAAGGGGACGAAGCACCACGTGTGACACTACGAGGAAAGGAAGTACGACTATGCTTGCCTAATTGACACGACTCACATGCCAAACTAGACAATTTAGATAAGGCAGGGACAAGTTGCTGTAACTTGGCAAGACTTGGATGACCTAACTGAGCATGGAGAAGAGAGGGAGACTCTATAACTGCACCAACATGTGTAAAGGGACGAAGATGATAAAGACCATGAGACTCACATCCTGTGCCAATCACCTGTTTCGAACTCCGGTCCTGTAAACACACAGAATTGTTGGTAAAAGAAACAACACAATCAAGAGAACGAGTTAGACGAATGATGGATAACAGGTTAAAAGGAGACCCAGGGACATAAAGAACATTATCAATGGTTAAAGAAGGGAAAATTTTAACAGTTCCAACACCATGAGATGATACTCTAGAGCCATCAGCTAGTGTAACAAAAGGTAAAGGATCAGGAGAGGATAAAGAGGAGAACAAAGATTTGTTACCAGTAATATGATCAGTGGCTCCTGAATCAAAGACCCAAGGACCAGAAGAAGATTGGGTCAGACCAAGCAAAAGATGTACCTGTGTGTGCGACAGACACAGTGGAATTAGAAGACTGTTGATCCTTATACCATTTGAGAAATTTGTTGAACATAGCAGGTGTGTCTGATGAAATAGAAGAAGGAGGATCCTTAGCAGATAAAGGTGGGGAAAGATCAGTCTGAGCAACTGCAGTAGATCGAGTAGGACGACCATGTAATGCATAACACTTGTCAATCTTGTGACCTAGTTTGCCACAATGTTCACACTCATGTAATGCATAACACTGGTCAATCTTGTGACCTAGCTTGCCATAATGTTCATACTTAGGACGCCCTTTTCCCTGTTTGCAAGGGCGAGTTCGATCATCACGATGAGATACCAATGCAGAAGAATCATTAATAGAAGCAGGTGTGTCAGGGTTGGGTTTTGCTGGTATACGCAAAAGAGTGGAGCAGGTCGATGTCAAGGTGGGGACAACCGGAGAACCCAAAATCTGATCACGAATATGTGAATATTGATCAGCAAGTCCGTGTAATGCCCCTAGCATGAAGAACTTTGATCATTGTCCTATCTCGGTGGCAAGGTCGGGGGAAGGAGGCAATAACTCATTGAACTCATGAAAAAGAGCATGAATTTTGCCCATATAATCAGTCATAGAATCTTGATGTTTAGAGGCAATAACATCTACAAATTTTGAACAGACATCATAGAGACGTTGAGTATCATTGGTGTATAATAACTTGGCATGTTCCCAGATTTTAGCACATGTTTCGTAGGAACGAAAAATTTGTTTTAACGAAGGATCAAGAGTACCCTTGAGAACCACACATAATTGAGCATCAATGGTGTCCCAACGGTCTTCCTCACCAGGAGTGAGAGTAGGTGCTTTCGGGGCAAGATGATCAAGATACTTCTGACTCTTAAGCCATAATCTGACGTCTGATGACCATGTGGCATAATTAGGGCTAGTTAACTTGTCAATGGATAAGTGCACATTAACATAGTTAGTGTAGATGGAAGGATCAGACGCAGTACTGACAGAATTGGAAGTACTAAAAGGAGCGGAAGAACTCATAAAGGGCGGAGGCGATAGTGACAGCGGCGTGAACCAGTACACCAGGTAAGTTCCCAGGAAAGAGAGGTGGGTCACTAATGGACACGCTTAAATACCAAGTCTTTCCTTGTCAGAACTTTCCTAGACATGCACTTTCACACTACCAAATAACCGACAGCGATAGCGGCGGTGGTGGCGGCTTCAATAGTGGTCAAAGGCGAAAAAAATTTTCAAAATAACCTGGCTCTGATACCATGTTGAATATAGAAGAAATAGAGTTTGGGATTAATCTCCCTTGTGTATAAATCACACATAGGGTAGTCTATTTATAGTAGAGAGATACAACTAAAAGAGTAACTGAAAGTAACAGAATAAACAGAAGATATTGTTTGATATTATGGTTAATATCTAACAATATCTTAACAATATTAA